CCGCCATTTGAGTTCGTCGAAGTTCTGTGATTTGAAGTGCCGCTATCATAGAATAGTTATTCCGTTCTATCCTGGGAGGAATTAATCCGAAACCTTGGGCAACTGTGAGGGGATTAAATTCCTTAAGGACATACAAGAAACTTGCGGGCTCAGAATTTTTTCTATTTTGTTTTCTTAAACTAACGTTTACTGATTTTCTGATTTTGAATGGAGTGATATAACAAGCTTAAGGAATTTACTATTTATTTCTGTATTCATCTTACTTTCTGGTTTGGGAGACTAAAATCGTAGTGATTTTCTACTCCCGTTTTGGAGATTAAAATCTTCGGATTTTCTACTCCATTTTGAGATTAAAGTCTTTGTGACTTTCTACTCAATCCGAGATTAAAATCCTTATGATTTTCTACTCTCTTGTTTGTGTTCGGTTTGAAGATATAAAAACTTCAGCGAGATACTAATTCCGTTTGTGTCAATTTCTTTTACAGAAAAATAACAACAAGTACGGAACAACAAAATGGTTCTGTTGGAATGACTACTGCTGCAATGGCTACGGTGTCTTCAAGTCGCACAACGCTAGCACCGCGCGATGGCACCGGCAGAAAAGCCTGGAAATTTTTTCGACGTGGACTTCAAACGCTGGCAGCAGAAAATATTCTTCTACCTTAATGCACTCAGTCTGCAGCGCTTTATCAGCGAGGACGTTCCAGTCTTGGGAGAAGAGACTCCGGCTAATGAAAAATTTGTAGTCACTGAGGCATGGAAGCATTCTGACTTCTTATGCAAAAATTATATAGAGAGTTGTTTGGAAGATGGCTTGTACAACGTTTACAATGTCATGGAAACTTCAAAAGAGTTGTGGAACGCTCTTGAAAAGAAGTACAAGACGGAAGATGCTGGACTTAAGAAGTTTGTTGCCGCGAAGTTCTTGGACTTTAAAATGGTTGACAGTAAGTTTGTCATAACTCAAGTTCAAGAACTGCAAGTCATCGTTCATGACCTCCTTGCCGAAGGTATAAATCGAATCAATATTTTTATTAAAGATATTGATTATATTATTAATTCTAAATTTATGATTGTAGGTATGGTTATAAATGAAGCGTTTCAAGTTGCGGCATTTACTGAAAAGGTGCCTCCAATGTGGAAGGACTTTAAAAACTACTTAAAACATAAGCGCAAGGAGATGACGTTGGAAGTCTTGTTCGCTTAAGGATTGAAGAGGACAACAAGGCTGCAGAAAAGAAGTCTCGTGGAAATTCAACAATAATGGGTGCAAATATTGTTTGAGGAAGCTTCGGCGAGCAAAAAGAGAAAGAAGCCGTCTGGACCAAAAAATTACCCAATCAAAAAGAAGTTCAAAGGTAATTGCCACAACTGTGAAAAGGTTGGACACAAGGTTGCTGAATGTTGTGCACCAAAGAAGGACAAGAAGAAAAGCCAAGCCAACATGATTGAGAAGAATGATGAAATGATGATTTATGTGCCATGCTTTCGGAATGCAACCTAGTCGAAAATCCTAGAGAATGGTGGATTGATTTGGGGCAACTCGTCATGTTTGTGCTAACAAGGAATTATTTACTACTTATGCTCCCGCTGGACCCAACGAGACAATTTTTATGGCAAATTCCGCTACTGCAAAAATTGAAGGAACCTGCGAGATAGCTTTGAAGATGACTTTTGGCAAGATTGTAACTCTAAATGATGTCCTTCATGTTCCTGAAATGCAGAAGAATTTAGTCTCGACATCACTTATAGTCAAGAACGGCTTTAAGTGTGTTTTTGTTTCCGAAAAGGTTGTAGTTAATAAGATGAAGCAATTGATGCATTCAAGCAATATAAAAATAATGTTGAAACGCAACTAGACAAAAAGATCAAAATGATAAGAAATGATAGGGGCGACGAATATGAATCTCCTTTTGAAGAAATATGTTTGGAATATGGCATTATTCACCAAACAACTGCCCCTTACTCACCGCAATCTAAAAACGTTAAAAGATATTATGAATTCCTTGTTAATAAGTTGTGGTTTACCTCAGAACTTGTGGGGGGGGGGGGGGAGGGAATCTATTCTTACAGCTAACCAAATACTCAATCGAGTTCCCCATAGCAAAATGCAATCCATTCCATATGAAAAATGAAAAAGAAGGAAACCCAACTTAAAATATTTTAAAGTGTGGGGGTGTTTGGCTAAAGTGCAAGTCCCTAATCCCAAAAGGATAAAGATTGGACCAAAAATCGTTGACTGTGTTTTTATAGGATATGCAACAAATAGTAAGGCTGTAACGACCTGGCCGATCGTTTTGAGAGTTAGAGCCCCGATCCCCTATTAACTGCTTCCCCCGTATCTTTTTCTGCTATTGTGACTTGTCGGGAGGTTTCGTTTTGGATTTTGAAGTGTTTTGGGACACTTAGTCCCTAAACGGAGGCTTAAGTTTAGAATTTGGACCGTCGTCGAAACTATGTGAAGACGACTCCGGAATGGAGTTCCGTCAATTCTGTTAGCTCTGTTGGGTGATTTTGGGCTTAGGGGCATGTTCAGATTGTGTTTTGGGGGCCCGTAGCTTATTTAGGCTTGAAATGACGAAAGTCAAATTTTTGGAGTTTTGGACAGGTAGTGGAAATTTTGATTCAGGGTCGGAATCCGATTTCAGAAGTTGGAATAGGTCAGTAATGTTGATTATGACTTGTGTGCAAAATTTGGGGTCAATCGGACGTGGTTTGGTTGGTTTCGGCATCGGTTGTCGAATTTGGAAGTTTCAAGTTCTTTAAGTTTGAATCGGAGGATGATTTGTGGTGTTAGCATTGTTTGATGTGATTTGAGTGCTCGACTAAGTTCGTATGGTATTTTAGGATTGGTTGGTATGTTTGGTTGAGGTCCCGGGGGCCTTGGGTGTGTTTCGGATGCTCAACGGGTTAAAATTTGGACTTAGGCCATTGGTGAAAGTTTCAGGCATCTGGTATTTTTGCACCTGCGGTGGGGAGACCACAGGTTCGAACTCGCAAGTGCGGAAGAGGAGGCACATAAGCGGAAAGGAGAGGAGCTAACTGTGCGAAGAAGTTTCCGCATCTGCGATGCCGCAGAAGCGCTCCAGGACCTGCTGAAGCGGAAAAAGACCGCAGAAGCGCACAAAAGTTCGCAGGTACGCACACGCAGGTGCGACACCCCCTTGACCGCAGAAGCGAACGTTGAGTTTTAAGTCATTTACGCACCTGCGATGGATTTTTCGCAGGTGCGGCGCCGCACAGGTGCGAAGAAAGGTCCGCAGATGCGGTTTAACCGGCAGAAAAAGAGCTAAGTGCGAGGGTTTGAGTTCATTATCCATTTTTGGACCTTGGGAGCTCGCAAATTGGCGATTCTTTGAGGGATTTTTCAGAGAGAGTTTTGGGGTAATGATTCCTTACTCTGTTTTGGCTTTATTTCATTAATCTATTGTTGTTTTCTTCATTTAATCAAGGATTTTGAGTGAGAAAGTTGAGAAAATAGGGGAAAATTTCCCAAACGAATTTCTGAGTTTTGAGCGGGATTAGACCTCGGATTTGGATAATTTTGGTACGAGTGAACTCGTGATTGAATGAGTGTTCCTAATTTGTGACTTTTACCCGATTCCGAGACGTGGGCCCGGGGAGGTTTTTTGAGCGATTTTCCAATTTATTGCCTTAGCTATGATGTCATTAGCTAGATTAGTTTCTTGTAGTTATATTTATATTATGTAATTGATTTTGGATAGATTTGGGTCATTCAGAGTCGGATATTCTTGGAAAGAGCATTGTGACTAATTGATTGAGCTTGGTTCGAGGTAAATTGCTTGTCTAACCTTGTTGGGGGGGGGGGGGAGGGGAACTCCCCTTAGGATTTGGTACTGTTTGATATGAACGTCGTGTACGTGAGGTGACGAGTGCGTACACGGGCTATTTGTTGAAAAACTCCATTTTCATTAAGCAACATATCTGTTTTCCTTTAATTGAGCTACACTAGCATATGTAATTATCCCGTTTAGTTTAGAAAAGCATGCCTACGTGCCTTAACTGCCTATCTGAACTCTGTGCAGCATGTTTTAGTAAAATTTCCTGTTCTTCCTTGACTCGGACTTAGCCTAAATTGTGGTTTCGTTGCTATAACTGCTAATTCTGTTGGATGAGCTGCATATTTACTTTGGGACTACGGAACGGTATTCCAGGAGATCCCCTTATACTACATATTTACTTTGGGATTACATAACGGTATTTCATATTTAAACTATGTAGGAAGTCCAAACATTTAGGACTATAAAATGAATTATATATAAAAATCCAAATTAATATGATTACATAGAGTTAGTTAATTTAATAACTGTTATAGTAATTTGTTCTCCCAATCAAATTTTTATGTTTTAGTAATATTTTCTTTGCTTACGCACATTTCGATAAAGTTATGTAAATCATCATTTTATTTACTTATTTATTTATTTATTTATTTAAATAGCTAAAACCTTACTACATGGGTAATACGAAACCTTTGAAAAGAGATAAACTGAGAAGACAAAGAATCGTAAATAAAGCTTATGTGTCTCATAAAAGTTCTTAAATTTTAAATCTTTAAGGGCTATATATTTTTACTGAAACTAAAAAGAAAGCACAATACCTTGTGAAATTGAACATATGAATTTATAATATTGGAACATAATCTGAGGTAAATATATTGAATAATAATTGAAGAGTTTTACGAATAATTTTTATTTTATTTTATTGAGTTAGCTATATAAGATCAATATGCATCAATTTCAGAAGCTTACACTTTATTTTACAACTCAAATATAATTTTAAAAATAATATGTAATTTTCTTACAAAAATCATTTATTGAGACGGGAACACGTGCGAGGCGCGTACAATAAGACTAGTGATATTAAAAATGAATAGAGGGTAAAACAAACATTTAAAATTTTAAATTTAGATAAAGAGCGAAGAATGTCTAATGTTGAAAGTCGAGGTTTTTTTTTTCATCCTTTATTAATTAGCAACAATTGTAACAGAGATTCTAGGTATTTTAGTGAAGTACTTGTACTATACTACTCTGCTCTTTAAATCATGACTCAATGACGGAGTGAGTTCCGTATTTTGCTTTCACCAGAATTCGTCCGCCCAAAATCGGCCGTTCTAAAGAGAGAAGTCATAAAAGCTGTTGCCCTTTTTGGAGTTCTACCGCTGCTCTTCTCAAACGGTATTCGTTTTTTCTCTCCACTGTTTGTATCCTCTTTAAAAAAATTTATTTTAGATTTTTGGGTAATGATTTCTTAAACCATTCTTTGTCATGATCATCACATGGGTTCATGTAAGTGACTGAATTACGTGAAGGGCACCGAAGAAAACCCAGAATCATTACTGCATTGGTATTTGGGATATTCATCCCCTTTTGTTGCATTTTGCCTTTGAAACAAATCAAGAATTCAAGCTATTCCCTGATTGAACATCGAACTTCTCTTTTTTCCTGCTTGTGGATCCTATATATTTCTGTAGCAGCGTGTATATATGTGATTTGCACCTTTAGAGGGCAAATTAATTATGAGTTTGGTGTGGAAGCTACAATGTACTCGAAATTTTTGTATTAGGGAAGATGGACAATTTACAGAAAACACATGGTGATTTCTTTAGTGGGCAGAATTACTCAGTACCTGTGCTGGGAGTTAGCATATACACGAATAGTCGAGAGGCGCCCAAACTGACCGGAAACACCATGTTATAAGAAAAAGAGATGGACATTCTTGTTAAATTGTTATGAGAAGCCAGTTTGCTTGTATCTCGACTAATAATGTTCCATCAGTCTCAGGATTTAGTGGCCTCTGAACAAACTCTTGTCATCTCGATGTACCTCCTCCATAATAGAGGCGGAGCAAGGATTTGAACTTTATGAGTTCGGGGTTGTAATACTTTTAAGTTACTGGGTTCTAAATTAGTAATTTTTACATATTCAATGGATTTTTTAAAACCAATACATATGATTTGAATAAAAGTTACTAGGTTCAACCGAACCATACTCTGGCCCCGCCCTTGCCTCCCTTTCACTGGACCATCTTTAACCAATATTTACATGAATTTTTTATTTGCTCTATTTAGGGGAAGAAATTTGGGGGAAGGCGACGTACTTTGTCTGGAGAGGAGAGATGGTTCACCAGAATGAAGCATGTGAAAAGTGCACGCAAACCTGCCTGTTGATACATGGACAGCGGGACCCCTCGCCGATTGTTAACTCTTTCTTCAAAGTCATGATCGATAAGCGCTTCTCCAAAGTTCTGGTATTATATGATCTTTGACTAGTTTTTGAAAAAAATAAAATTAATGTCTCCTTCTAAATAAAGCATTGGTTCTGATAACAATATTTGGTTAAGTTGTTCTTATATTTTCTGAAATTACTTGTTACATCCAATAACTTGTATGTTGGAGGTTAATTAGGAGAAACTTTCGGTCTTTTCCTAGTTATAGTCGTACCTCAATCCCTTTAGCACATTTAATTAGTAGTAGTCTCTATAGACGTGTGTTGCCCCGTCGTCTATAGAATTTTTGTCATTTATTACCCCCTTCGTTTCAATGTATGTATCTTAGTTTGACTAGGCACAAAGTTTAAGAATAATAAGAAGACTTTTAAATCTTTTGGTCTTAAACTAAAGATGTGTATAATGTACCAAAATGCATTTGGATCTTGTGGTCTTTAATAAGCCATGGGAGTGAAGAGTTACTAAATATAGAAAGAGGCATTCTTTTTAAAAAGACTAAAAAGGAAAGTAAGACACATGAATTGAAAAAGAGGGAGTAGAATTTTTGTGCAAGAAAATAGTAAATTTTAATCGCATTAATATTCAGAAAACATCTAGTTGAGCTGTGAGATAGAAATCGAAGTAGTACATATGTAACTGCATAAACATCAATTTGCTTTCATCCAATTAATGGCAGAAGGCATGTGCTTGCTCCCTTACTTGGTATATTTCGTCAAGCTGTACTTGTCCCTAGAAAGTGACTCATTTTTTTTATTAACACCGATGACGACTTGTATCCGCTCCACCTTTGCTTTAGTCCGAAATTCAATGGAATAAAAAAGAGAGATGAAATCCATAAAGACCTGTAAGGATAGTAGGTCTCTTTAGTTTTACTATAATCCTAACACAAGTTGTATTTATATGACTAAAGTGGCACTCTTTTGCAGTGAGCGAATCACTTGAAATATCAAACTTAATGAAAAACTCATCTATTATCTTCTTGAGGCTATCCCATATGGAAGGTGGGATAGCTAATCCCACGGGAAAATCCTTGTTTATCCCACCATTGTACCAAATAGGTATAAAAGTTAATCAACTATGGAGGTATAATAAAACTTAACTGCACGCAAGGACCTTTAAATTCTAAATAATTGATTTTATGTGAACTTTTAGGCTTTGAAGATGAATAATTTAATTTGTTTTGGTTTAGTCACGGCTTTAAATTTATTTATTTCCTCCCTATTTCACCACATATCCTATTCTTCATATGATTTCTATAGTGATACTAATATTGTCTCCTTTTGTCTTTTTCTTTTCTTGAGCCAAAGGTCTTTCGGAAACAGCCTCTCTACTCCTTCGGGGTAGGGGTAAGATCTGCGTACACACTACCCTCCCCAGACCCCACTAGTGGGATTTTGCTGGGTTGTTGTTGTTGTTGTATTTCACCTCATAATGGCTCAACTTTTTTCAGATAGTAGCAAAACCACAAAAGAAAAAAAGTAGAATATTAGTCTAATCTCCATAGCAACAATGTACAAAATTTTTCATATCTATTTAGAAAGAGACTCTTGTGAGCTACATATGATCATAAATAACCAAAATATCAAAATAGTGTAGAAACACAAGAGGGAAAAAATTATTTTGCATTCTGCTTCGCCTGCAATTCAGTAAGAGAGGTTCCCTTTCCTTTCTTGTCCCTGTTAATCTCAAAATGCTTGCACCTCCTGATTGGGTGTTGTGATTTGCAACCCTGGCGTTGTAATCTCAATACGATCTTCTATATGATTTTTGCCTTTTGTGGAAAATAGGTTTGTTCATGACCTTACCATAACCTCATTGCTTGACGCAGTTTGCGTTCCTTGTTTTAAGACGTTCAAAATTTTGGCGGGCTTTGAATGAGATAAATTGGTAGATACCATTTTAGCTGTTTAATAACTTAACTAAGTTGAACAAATTATAGTACGAACTCAACATGTTAATAAATTCGACGGAAGATCTTTGAGTTCAATTGCTATTAAAGGAGAAATCTACTGACTTTTAAGCAAAAAGAGTAGATAAGAGTAGAGGGCACTCGCCTTAAAGATAGATTTGACATTATTCCTCTAAAAGGAATATGAAAATCTTTTGGCGTTCTGCCTCAGAAGAACATCAACGATACTTCCCGCTATTGGCTTTGCGTCATCGCTAATTAAATATGTTGTGTGATACAAACATTAATCAAATTCAAAAGCTACTTATGATTACTATGCAACTCCAAATATAGTCATGCTTACCATGCAACACGCGTGAGACAAGGAGTGAAGCTTGAAAATTACCTAAGATCATTGTTCTTCAAGCAAAAACACTAAATTTCAGTAGGGTCATCTGCAATGCTAAATATAAATTAAGAACTTTACCAGATTAGATCAACATTACAAGGATAAAAATAAAACGAAACCCAACATACCAAAAGAGGTAAAACCCTATGTTATAAGCGATTTGATTATGTGCATATGTAGCATCTTACATAAATACAAAACCCTTCTTCCTTAAGAGGAGTCCCCCCTTCTTTGTGAAATAACTCCGATGAGAAGAAAAAAGGAGTTAAGAGGCCCTCCTGGCCTAACCCTAGACACTCCAAATCTGCTCCCATTTCGAGTCAAGAACAAAATGGCTCGAATGGTACGATCCCTCCGTCACCCCAGAGTGAAAGGGGCTATCTCATAGTTCTTGGTCTGGTGAGGATGTAATATGCCAATGGAACACGTTTTATATATAATGGTAACATGCGGTTTAACTTGTTTTTATCCATGTGGAATTAGTATGTATTTGGGACTTCAAAAACCGGTAGAACGTTTCAAATAGCTAAAATTTGAAACGACTTTAGTTCGTGTGAGAGACGATTCAAACTTCTACACGAATTTTAAATATTCTATTATTTGTCGACTTCAAAGTTCATGTATATTAGATAGTCCTAAATATTACAGCTTTATCCAAATTTCTTTAAAGAAATATTAGCTTTATAAGGGTCGAAAAGTCAGATCAACTTTTCGAGAATATTTTGCTCCATCAACATTTAGCTTTTAAACATTTGTATTATATATATATATATATATATATATACACACTATAACAACAACATACCTAGTGTATTCTCATAGTGTATACACATACCTTACCATTACCTTGTGGAGGTAGAGAGGCCGTTTCCGATAGACCTTCGCCTCAAAAAGCATTTTAAGCAGGATGGGAAAAGAAGCCATGTTGAATAACAGTATTGAAGAAACCATATTGAAAATAATAAAGACAAGAACAATAACAACAACAATAAAGCAGTACGATAACTGAAGCAAAGGAAATAATCGGTAGTCATAGAAATCAAAGAATAAGATAATACGATAATGATAGTAATAATACTGATATGGAAAATAAGGAATAGATACGGTGTCCCAAACACGACAACCTACTAAGGAACATATATATTTCGAAGCTATATGGCGAGGTGCATGGTGGCTTCGGCTTTGGGGATAGGAACGGAGGAGGTTCTTTGCTGTTAGATTTCGCTAAGGCTTTCGAGCTGGTGATTGCGAACTCGAGTTTTCCGAAGAGGGAGGAGCATCTTGTAACTTTCTGAAGTTCGATTGTGAAAACTCAGATTGATTACCTCCTCCTCATAAGGTGTGATAGAGGGTTGTGCAAGGATTGCAAGGTTATCCCGGGTGAGACCCTCGCGACCCAGCATGGGCTCTTGGTAATGGACGTCGGTATTACGATAAGGAGGAAGAAGAGGTATGCTCGTGGTCAACCGAGGATTAGGTCGGGAGCCTTGACTAAGGATAAAGCCCAGGAGTTGGAGGGGAGGTTATCGGCTATGGGAGCTTGGAGGAGTAGCGAGGATGCCAGCGCTATGTGGGCTACGACGGCGAACTATGTTAGGGAGGCGGCGAGAGAGGTGCTGGGGATATCGAAGGGTCACTCTGGCAGGCACCAAGGCGACTGGTGGTGGAATGACATAGTCCAAGGCAAAGTGGAGGCGAAAAAGGAAGCGTATATGAAGTTGGTAGGGAGCACATGCGAGGAGGAGAGGAGAGCAAATAGAGAGAGGTACAAGGTAGCAAGAAAGTAGGCTAAGCTGGCGGTCACGGAGGCTAAGAATACATCGTTTAGCCGACTGTACGAGGAATTGGGGGAAAAAAGGCAGGGATAAGAAGTTGTTTCGGCTGGCTAAAGCGAGGGAGAGGAAGGCTCGGGATCTGGATCAAGTGAGGTGCATCAAAGATGAGGACGGTAGAGTCTTGATGGGGGAGTCCCAAATTAAGCAGAGATGGCAGATATACTTTCAGGGTCTTCTAAATGAGGAAGGGGACCGAGATTTAGTGCTAGGTGATCTGGGGCATTCGGAGAATCTCCGAGACTTTGGGTATTGTAGGCATATTAAGTTGGAGGAGGTCGTGGGGTCTATGCATAAAATGAGTCGGGGCAGAGCGACCGGGCCAGATGAAATTCCGGTTGAGTTCTGGAAGTGTGTGAGTAGAGCAGGCTTGGAGTGGCTGACTGGGTTGTTTAATGTTATTTTCAGGACGAAGAGGATGCCGGATAAGTGGAGGTGGAGTACAGTGGTTCCGTTGTACAAGAACAAAGGTGATATTCAGTGTTGTAACAACTATAGGGGTATCAAGTTACTAAGCCATACCATGAAAGTTTGGGAGAGGATGGTGGAGGCGAGGGTGAGGAAGATAGTGTCTATATCTGACAACCAATTCGGGTTCATGCCGGGTCGCTCGACCACGGAAGCTATCCACCTTATTAGGAGGTTATTGGAATAGTACAGGGATCGGAAGAAAGATCTGCACATGGTGTTTATTGACTTGGAGAAAGCGTATGACAAGGTCCCAAGGGAGGTGCTATGGAGATGTCTGGAGGTAAAAGGTGTGCCGGTAGCTTATGTTAGAGCGATCAAGGACATGTATGATGGAGCTAAGACTAGGGTGAGGACTGTGGGAGGCGACTTGGAGCATTTCCCGGTTGTTATGGGGTTACACCAAGGATCTGCGCTTAGCCCGTTCTTATTTGCCTTAGTAATGGATGCACTAACACACCATATTCAAGGGGAAGGCCATGGTGTATGTTATTCGCTGATGACATAGTCCTAATTGATGAGACGCGGGACGGTGTTAACGAGAGGTTGGAGGTTTGGAGACAGGCTCTCGAGTCTAAGGGTTTCAGATTGAGCAGGACTAAGACAGAGTACCTGGAGTGCAAGTTTAGCGCCGAGTCGAGGGAAGTAGGCATGGATGTGAGGCTTGGATCACAGGTCATCCCCAAGAGAAGTAGTTTCAAGTACCTTGGGTCGGTTATTCAAGGGGATGGAGAGATCGACGAGGACGTCACTCACCGCATAGGAGTGGGGTGGACGAAATGGAGGCTAGCATCTGGAGTCTTATGTGACAAGAAAATGCCACCTATACTCAAAGGTAAGTTTTATAGGGCGGTGGTTAGACCGGCCATATTGTATGGGGCAGAGTGTTGGCCAGTTAAGAACTCTCACATCCAGAAGATGAAGGTAGCTGAGATGAGGATGTTGAGGTGGATGTGCGGGCACACTAGGATAGATAAGATTAGGAATGAAGATATTCGGGAGAAGGTGGGTGCGGCCTCTGTGGATGACAAGATGCGGGAAGCGTGGCTCAGATGATTCGGGCACGTGCGGAGGAGAAGTCTGGATGCTCCGGTGAGGAGGTATGAGCTGTTGGCTTTAGTGGGTACGAGAAGAGGTAGAGGTCGGCCTAAGAAGTATTGGGGAGAGGTGATCAGGCAGGACATGACACGATTGCAGATTTCCGAGGACATGACCCTTGATAGGAAAGTCTGGAGGTCGAGCATTAGGGTTGTAGGATAGAGTGGTAGTCGAGCTTCTCCTTCTCCATTCCGAGGGTGAAGCGAGTTTGAGTAGGTTGGTCCTAGACGGCTTGTGGTTGATGTAGAGTTCACACTAACCTTACTGTTTTCCATAGCTCTGGATCTTAGTTGCGGGTTATTATTATTGCATGTCATCTGTTTTATGGTTTTGAGGATGCTGTCATTATTTCTATGGTTATGTTGACAATACTGATGAATTGTCTTTTCTTTTCTTGTTTTATTTCCATCTTCCTGAGCCGAGGGTCTATCGGAAACAACCTCTCTGCCCTATCGGGGTAGGGGTAAGGTCTGCGTACGCACTACCCTCCCCAGACCCCACTAAGTGGGACTTTACTGGGTCGTTGTTGTTGTATCTACTTAGCATACTACGTAGAGCATGGCCAAATCATCTAAGACAACCTTTTCCCTATTTCATATTCTATGGGTGCTACTTGCATAGTTTGTTTGACGTGATTATTTCTAACCTTAACCAATCTTGTATAATTCCACATCCATTTTAACGCCCGCAGTTCTACAACACTCACCTTATCGATATGTTAGGTTTAGAGGGCCAACATTTACTCTCATATATCATTACTGGTCATATATGACTTTGCTTCTATTTGTGTTTTATCTTCCTATTGAATTGCACTCCTATAACGCTCCTATATTTAACCATCATATTTAATTTGCTTGTTACATCTTCATCCATCGTACCGTTCTCCTCAAACAACTCAACCTAGATATTTGGATTGCCTGCATTTAGGACCACGATCCCATCAGACAAAGTCTAAGTTGATTGTTGTTATTGTCCAAAGTGAAACTTTATAATCTCATTTGAGTTGTTACATGAGAAGTTCTTTCCATCTTAGCATTCTTGTGGTTTCAAACTTTTTGGATAACTTGTGCATAGAATAGGATCATTAGAGACATGACCCAACTTGGCTGGAATCTCTATCATGTTTTTTCTTCCTCACCTAGTGATGCTTGAAGCAGAAGGACATTCAAGCTATGACTAGATAAGCCCAACTGCAACTCTTGATCCATTTAGATTCTTCCAATATTATAGTGCTATGCTTACCTTCTAATGGCACATCTAAATATTTTGAAGTTTTACAGCTTATGTAGATTCGTCAACAGAGAAATAAGGCAAAGCTCTTAAGCTAGTCATAAAGATTAAAGGTCCTTTTCAATTTTGGAATGGGATAAATCTGTCTCATCATCCTTCAATCATTGGCTCAGATCTGCATAATATTTCAAGTCTTTACAACCCCTTGAGTTTCTTAAAACAAATTATATTCCTTGCACTTGCTAATGATCCCAATCCGCATTGTTGAAATTTTGCGATGGAGACCAAACAGCCTGTCCAAATTGCCAACAACCAAAGAGTCCTGAACCCTCTTGTTTTACACTGTATTAATTTTTCACCAGTGTGTTTCACTGTCTAAGTGTAAATCAGGGAAACAACTTCTTAAAAACTCACCCAAAAAAAAGAAGGATTTTTTCAAGTTCATTAAATATGTTCCTAATGCTGATGCACAAAAGATGCAAGTCAGTCTTCAAATACCTTAAAATTCCAAAATGAAATGTATCATGCTTAGAGAAAATAGTAGATAAATTAAATAGAACCTAGAGATCGACTACTTCTGTTATTTGGTCCTGTAAGGCTGTTTTACTGAATGTTTTTTTCCCGGTCTGATGAAGAAGTTCGTTTCTTTGATGGCATCAAGAAGATGCAGTGAGTAAAGTTGTAATTGATGTTTTTTTGGCTCTCTTCATGTCTCATTGGCCATGTACTTAGTGAAGCACATAAACTAACCTATCATTCACTATTTCACTTGTTATATGATTCTGTTTGTTAGTTACTCGAAAAAAGTTGTCTCTTAAAATCCTCAACGTCAACTGCAATAATGATTTGTGTAATGTATTCAAATCTTACTTGAATTAGATCATGTGATTAAGTACTTGCAATAACATGGAAAAAACTTGATCACGTGTTTAAGTTTTGAAGCTGTAAATTTTCTTTTACCACCAAGGCTTGTCTATCGGTATCAGTGGGAGTTTCCCACACAGTAAGTGCTCGTTTCTCAATATTCCCTTTCCCCTCTCGAATCCTCCTAAGTAATGTGAAAAACTTTTAGTTATTAAAAAACAAATAACTCAAACTTCTGAGTGCAAAATATTCTTGAAGTCCTTTATATGGTATCTACTTTCCTGAGAAGCTTCATTGTAGTGTTGGGTTGGTTTCTCACCATTATGCTTTTAGCAAAATTAATGTTCATGCTTTTTTTTTCTTAAATAGTTGGCATGCATTTGTTGCTTTTAACTTTTCTAATTTTTATGCAATTTAAGTTGACTGCAGGAAAGGACTGAATTGGTGTAAAGTTTTTGGAATATTTATGATAATCAAATGCTCCATGTACAACTCAAACACCTTCAATTGTGTAGTGGGAAACTTTTTTCTTTAATGTAGATGTTGATTTGCATATCAGTTTATAGCCATTCACATTCTATGTACAATCTTTTCAGTACTTTCCCCCCAGATTTGCTCGATTGGTATCTCACTTGACTAATCAAGAAACTTATCTGGAGGACTCAAGTGGTCAGAAATGGAAGGTGGGAATATGTATTCATAAGGGTTCGCTTGCAATTAGAGAGGGATGGCATGCATTTTCATCAGAACATGGTCTGAAAATTGGGGACTTCTTGGTTTTCCACTATATTCAGGGACAGCACTTTATTGCTCAAATATTTGGAACAAGTGGTTGTCAAAAGATCAGCTTTGACAATGGCACTCGCACAGGGAAGAAAAGGCGAAGAACTAATTGTAAAGCAACTTCCCAAGATGAGCTGCTACCGGAAACTGACATAAATTCAAGAAAAAAGTGGAATTCAACACCCTCAGATACTGCTGTACCAGAGTCTGAAATGGCTGATCACGAGGCAGTGACCACAACTTTTGCATCAACCATAGATGCTGACACTGGAATCCTAGAAATAGTTCCCGAAGCAGAAGCAATCAGCGATATTCTACAAGGTGAAAATGGACCTCGTAATCATGTTAGCACCAATTCAATATCACAAAGGGAGTCAAGTTTAGTAGATGAGGTTCCTGTTGAGATGGAGCTCTTAAGCTTTCAAGCACCTGTGCACTTCCTTGACATTGGAATCACTCAGACTGAAAAAATTTCTGAACCAGTGAACGATATTTTACTTTTGGGCCAAAAAGATGAAAATGTCCATAATATGGGTCTGATCTCTAGCACGTCTTCAGCTGAAAATAGTGGCAAGGGTAATTTTCCCTTTCATTTTTATCATATCTTCTTAATCAATATCTTTACCGTGTCCAGAAACACTGGAAGGGAAGGGAAAATTACTAAAGAGGGAAAATGGAAGGGAAGTGCGAGAGAATAATTAGTTGGACTAAAAGAAAATTGATTTTTTCCCCTCTCTTCTCTCTCCACTTCCCATGCTCTTTCTCTTGATAAACGAAAAAAGAAAAAGAAAATTCTGTACTTTTCCCTTAATTTCCTTCCTCTTCCCTTGTTTCTAAGCAAGTCCGTGATTTACTTTGATTGGCTCCAATATATATTCTCAACCACATGATGATATGATATATTAGGTAGTCATTTGGTCTTGCCATCTAATAAAGAAAGTCGCTGCAGCAATCAAGCTACCAGAGAGAAATCCAATGAAGCATCTCATATTGGTAAGCTTCCAGTCTTTAACATTAAGAATCATTTTATTCTGCTGTCTTAAAATGTATTCTTATTCTTCTGTAACTTTTGTGTGTGACACTAAATTTTTTCTTTATCGGTTTTATTGGATTTCTTCCTGTTATTGTGGGGTTTTGCATCATGAATAGATAGGAGAGAACTGAAGGAGATGGCAGCGAAAACAGATTGCTCTGCTAAAAAGCTAAATGGTATAACATTTTCATATTTACTTTAATACTCTCATTTAATCTTGATATCCTTTTCTCATTACTGCACATGATCCCATGCATGCATTCTTATGTGATGTATGCTGCATGAGCAAATGCAGGAAAAGAGCCAAAAATAATAGAGAAAGATGGTCAAGGTTTTCTAACGGCTGTAAGTGGTAATAACAAAGTTATCAAAAGTGAGCCTGCTGATTCAGGAGACACATCATTTCCTGATGCTGGCAACTTCTCATGTTTGCTACGGGTGGATGGTCGAAATTTTCTGGTGAAAATCTTGCTGAAATATCATTCCTTCTGCTATTAGATGGATTTTGAGGAATTTCATTTGTTTGTTTTATTCCCTGCAGCATATGCACTGAATGATATCTAGTATTTGTTGGAGTGACATGCATTTTAGTACTTTTTTCACCAATCTTTGGCATTGAATTATTAAAGATATTGTATAGGGGAATTCACACATCTTTGTCAGCCTATATACTCTATAGTTTTTTCATTATCATGAAAATTGAATTGTTGTTGTTGTTGCATGAAGATTGAGGATAAGTGCTGATTACTTTGTCAGTAAACTGTTGAAAAGGAATAAAAGAAATGAAAATCCAATTTTAGTACGAGTTCCTTTTTATTAAATGAAATGAGGATCATGAAATCACCACTGAGCTCAAAGTAAATTAATATATTTTTGATTGTTAGTACTGCTGATAGTAAACTTTGCCTTTGCTTTTTTTCCAAAAATTAATGAGAATCCTTTGTGATTGAAATGGTCATTTTCTTTAAAGAAGCAGAACCTGATTGGCAATGGACATTTTTTTGTTGTCCTTTTTCTTGGTCCTAGCAAATGGCTGATTTCAACTTCTTATGCTACGAAGAGCAGATATTCTGTCTTAAGATTTCTCAAGGAAAAAAAGTTGTAGGGTTCTGTGGAACTAGATTTCAAAGAGGAAAATGTTTATTTGAATATTTGGCACTTAATCACCTGACCACAGTGATCATTCGTTTTTTTTTTCATATATTTGTCCTGATAAAAGCTTTCTCCTTAGAGAATGCGGTCCGCTGCACATTGTGCTTAACTGCCTGTATTTGGCTGAAATTTTCTTTTGATTCCCTGAGTCTATATTTGAATTTACTGTGTAGGAATTACCACAAAGCTGGCCGCAAGTTCTGACAGGCAGGAAAAAGCTGGAACATATTACTATTTATCTCCAAGGACCAGATGATAGACCCTGGCCTGTCACCTATCATGAGAGAGCAGGTACTAAGGTTTTGGCGAGTCGGTGGGCATTATTTTCCGCAGCGTATGGAATTAAGCCAGGGGATGAATGTCGATTCCAAGTTTTAAATCTGTCAGAGCGTAGATTTAAGGTACACATAGGACACAAGTTAGATGTTACTCAAACTAGTTTGAGTTGATTATTATGAGCAGTTGTGAGAAGAATGTGATTGATTTATGGGGAGATAGAGTTTACTTAATGGTTTTTATACATTCATTTGATTTATATGTTGTGCTGATACTTTGGTTTAGCAGCAATGAGATGTTATGGATGCTGACTGTTGAATAAGTTTTCATGTATCATCCTTTGAAAGGAACTCTTCATGTTTTATGGGGAAATGAAAGCTCACATGTGCTACTCTCCAACTGCACCATAACATAACTCCATGTCTGGACCTCCTTTTTGGAAATGAAAATGGGGATTTTGTTTTGGGCCGGTCGTTTCAAGATGTGTTTGGTATGTTCAGGAAGTTATTTTTTGAGAAATTTTCATAAAACATTATCTTTTAGTGGTAATTAGCTATCTACAGATACCATTTACTATATTACGGATTGTAGATATGTTTTCTGTTGTTATAAGATGTATTAGGTGTATTTAAGCTACTGTATTCATGAATACAGTAGCAAAAATAGGCGTGAATCAGGGAAGTCCAACTAATCAGTTGTTGTATTCGAGTGTATTCGACTGTATTCATGGCGTGAAACATGGGATTACAGCTGGACAGATTATTGTATTCGACTGTATTCACAGCGTGAAACAGGAATTACACTGTTTTAAACGGAAAATGAATCAATTAACATAATAGACTCCTAATATAACTCAACAAACATTATAACACACAAATTTTGTATTTCCAGTTATAAAAAAAAAATTCTCAACCAAAAAATACCCCAAAAACATAGCAATCCTCAGAGAAATTATATAATACATCTTAATACATAAATTATAGTAATTAAAAAAAAAACATATGAATACATTCATGGCATATAGCGAGACAGTGAATACAATAAAATACATAGAATACATCGGGATACATTGAAATACGATGGAAAAAAAGACAGTGAATACAATGAAATACATGGAATATAGCGAGATACATTGAATTGCGATAAAAAAAAGACAATGAATACAATGAAATACATGAAAATACAACGTGATACATTGAAAATACATTGAAATATATTAACAGAAATTTTGAGATGGGTGAGAGGAATTTGTCTCGTTTTAGATGAAGGAGCAGCAAGGGGCGCCGAAACTGCCGCTGAAGATGCCATTTTCATATCGAGATTGACAAAACCCTAGATGGAATACTACAGGATCAAGATGATTCAGAGTGAGTGGAAAAATGGGAACTGTGTATCGAAGCCCTAGCGAAATAGAGAGAAGAGAGCGTGGGTTCTGGACAAATTGAAATTTGGGAAGGGTGACTAATGGTAGGTGATGTGGGTGAGAGGAATTTTGAGATTGAGCATTGTGTTTTCAGTGAATGGGGGAGGAGAATGACATGTATCAAAGTAGAGAGAGAAAGAAAATAGTGTAACTGAATAGCGTATTTAGTGGCTTAGGGGTAGGAGGTAAGCAAAATTAGATATTTTGCTATAAACATTAAAAGGTATCTATAGAATATAATTTTTTTAAAATGGTATTTATTTAAAATAAATAAGGTATTAACCTTTGCTATAGGAGGTAAAAATTCCTTATTTTTTAGTATATGGTATGACACAAGTAATTTTCCAAGGAAAAAATTACTTCCTCACTAGTGGGCGCAAGTCATTTTTCACGTCATACCAAACCAGGGGCGGCTCAATGAAACCAGAGGCCTAAAGTCAAAACTTAAGAAAGATGTGAGGAAATAACATTAGTAATGTGACAACGGTTGGATAATAGACACGATTAATTTAGATAACCAAGAAAAATTTGTAAGGTCTTAACAAATTTTCTTTCAGGTTTTAAGTTCTCTTTTAAGTATTCCACAGTATAACATTGTCTAATATTTTAAAATTTTGAGTTAAATTATTCAAATATTCATATCTATTAATAAAATATTTGATAACTAGAACTAATGTAGTGTATTAAAATAAAATGTTAATGTCATGTTAACTTTAAAAAAACCTTACTAATATAAATAATTATAACTAATAGAAAAAATTTAAGGTGGCCTTTGACTCTTGGGGGCCTAAAGCAGAAGCTTTAGTAGCCTTACCCTAGAGCCACCCATGTACCAAACCAAAGTGTCGTTTGATTTGAAGACAAGTTGTGCAAGTATTAACTAGTTATAAAAGTATTAATTAGTTATGCAAGAATTATAACGCAGAGATTATTTTTTGTTGGATGTTTGGTTTTTTTATATTAAAAATCAATAGTATATATTAAAGTACATATTTTTCATTTGTTTCCTTCTAATTGAAGTACCAAGTCAAAAAAGAAAGAAAAAATCGTCCTAGCTATAAAGAAAAAACATGTATGTCACCTCCAATAATTGAATCATGAAATGGCAATGATCCGGCCTGAGGTGTGGTGTTACGGGGCCTTCCTTGCTTTAATTGAAAATAAGTTCGGATTGTTTGCATTCTTAAAAGAAGATAGAAAACAAGTTCAGAAGAATAAGAACGTCCATCTCAAATTGAAATATCATAAAAACACAACTGTCTATGGAAGAACATATTAGACTTTTGTTTAAGATCAAGCATCAATGGTTTCCTTTTTCTACTCCTCCATTTCTTAATCAGGAGAGCTAGAGGATAGTGAAATAGGTATAATAAATTACTAAGAGAGATGGGATTAGGAACGAGGATATTCGGGACAAGGTGGGAGTAGCCCCGTGGTGGATAAAATGCGAAAAGTGAGGTTGAGATGATTCGGGCATGTGAAGAGGAGTGTCCAAATACCCTTGTGGGAAGGTGTGAGAGGTTGGCCATGGTGGATCTGAGGAGAGGTAGAGGTAGGTCAAAGAAGTATTGGGGAGAGGTGATAAGGCAGAACATGGTATTCTGCAGCTTAGTGAGGACATGACCCTTGATAAAAGAGTATGAAGATCGTGAATTAGGATACAAGGTTAGTATGTGGTCGAGCTTTTCCTTTTTAATACCTGTAATATCATTATTATTCGCGAATTTTTTACACTTAGTTCTCCATTACTACCGGTTGTTTTTGTTTGTTTGTTTTTGTTATCTTTTTATCATGTTGCTGTTAGTGATTCTTGTTACTGCATTTTTTTCCATGGCTTTTCCTTTACTGTATTTCTTTTACTATGTTGTGACTATGTTTTTTTTAAGCCGAGGGTCTATCAGAAATAGTCTGTTTACCTTATTAAGGTCTGCATACACACTATCCTCTCCGGACCTCACTTGTAGGATTAAACTTAGTTTGTTGTTGTTGTTGTTGTTTTTTTTTTTTTTTTGATGTTTCGTTTTTAAGACAAGGAAAGAGAGTTAAAATATCATGGTATAGCCAGTTTTCACACTGGTCAATGAAAAATAGCCAGCGTTTATCAAGTCAATGAAAAATAGCCACTATTTTGCTGCAACAGGGACCGTTCCAGTATAATATACGGGAGTTCTGGTGCATTTGTGTACGAACTCCAGCATATTATGCTAGACCGGTATACTTTGCTAACTCCTGTAAAATTTGCGGGAGACTGGAGCACCAGTGCTCCAAACTCCAGTATATTATACTGGACAATTATACTTGCTGGAACTCCCGTAAAATTTGCGGGAGTTCCAGCATAATTATGCTTGAACTCCCGTAAAATTTGCGGGAGTTCCAGCATAGTTATCCTGGAACTCCCGTAAAATTTACAGGAGTTCAAGCATACTTATGCTGGAACTCCCGTAAAATTTGCGGGCGTATTTTTCCGGATTTTGAACAGTGCTTTCGCTTAGATTTAAAGTGGCTAAATTTCGATGACTTTTGAAACTTGGCTATTTTTCAACGACCAGTGGTAAATCTGACTATTTTTGAATTTCTCCCGGAAAGAGATTGAGTACTTTTGTCATTCGTTATTTTAATCCATATATTATTTAATGCATATGTTCTTATTCCACATTTAGTATTATTTATGAGGACAACAACAAAAAAAAAACAAATATTGTATAACTAATACAGGGTTTATAATGCAACAAAAAAAAGTAAGCAAACAATATGGCTAGAGGATCCTTTCCCTTGCGAGGACAGGAAGCGAATTAGAACAAGCAAAAAAATTGAAAAATGCAGTTTCAAAGGGAATCACCTAAAGAGTTACAGTAATCTTAAAATCATCATCGATACATTGTCTCCTCCTCCTCTCCCCCTCCCCCACCATATATCCTATTATTATTATTACGTATCACGACATCGAAAAATAACTTTGTATATTTCGTTTTATGTGACATTTGTTTAATCCAAATATATTTTTAGGAATACACAATTGAATTTATCTTTAACGAGGTCACTAGCAACGGTTCGAATCAAAGTTCAATCGAATGAATTGTAGAATAAAGCTAATAGTGATGTGAATAAATCAATGGCATTAAACAAGATAAAGATAAGAAGGATCTTATTGATGGTATTGCAAAATCGAGAAAGATTGCTCAGGAATAATACAATAGCTATCAGTAAAGAATGAGTTCAGTAGACTGTAAATGAATCTACAAGTCAATAGAATGGGATATTTATAGCCTAAGTATAACGTTCACAAGATCATCCCCACTTTCACATGTCACCCAAGTGGTTAGTAACCGCCGAGATACGTACTCGCCGGTTATGGGTGGCGAATCTTGTAGGCGTGGGTGAATCCCTTACGTTATGGGGGCGGTTGAGGACCAAGTCAAGTTCCATGTCATGACTTTAACGGTTAGAACCCGCAAATCTTTGGAGCGCTTCCCCGAGACTCTTGCGCTTATTTCTCCGGGAAGAAATCACCAAATCGTATGTACTTCCAGTGAAGATCAATTTCCCTACTATCCTATTCCCGGGGTAAAACTTATCTCAAAAGATATCGTGTCATTCATGCGATTTATCCACGTGTCAAATTCAAATTTTACCAATACAAATAGTCCTCCCACTTTTCGGATAATTCTCTAGAAATATCCGGGAAGTGGTATGATTGCAAAGAGATTTTTGGCATGATTTTCCATGCAATCGTCACTACTTTTGAATCTGAAAGGACTTCTACTTAATTCCATTAAAAGCCCGAAACGCATGGCGGGCATCAACACTAAAGCGGTTATCAAGGTCAGTGGCATCGTCTATAAGAAACGTCCTCCTTACTAGTCTTCGTTACCTTGTATTTGAACTTTTTTCTGAAATTGCTCAAACTCCATTATTTTTTTTCTAAATATCTTAAATCTTTTTGCTTCTTACTTTCTTCCTATATTATCTTCAAATAATTCAATCAATGCTCAGGAGGTAGTGGCTGCTGTAGAGTTCGTTGTCGTTGCTCCTCTTCCTGC